CGCTGCGTGGTCAAATCCATTTGGCCAACATACTTCTTGCGCGTACTCTAAAAGTGCCTGCGTGCCAGCAAGTCCCTCAGCTGCGCCAGGGTCGAAGATCATGCCCCGGACCTCCTGGCCATTCACGGCGCGGAAGCTGAAGCTAGTCCCCTGTCTGGAAAAGCCGGAGGCTGCGCATGTAAATGTCGAGGAAGACGGCTTCTGCTCTAACCGGAAATATTCTCCGCGCTCAATCAAATCGTATGCGTGCTCGCCATCTGCCTCGTCGTCGGGAACTGGTTGCTCGTGAGAAGCGCTGACCACCGGATCCGAGTGCTCGGCGCCGTTCTCGCTGCTGATCCGCAGGTCCCTCTCCAGCTCACTGGGGTCGGCGAGGTCGAGACGCCGGCGATGATGTCGACGGGGCCCAGGTCGCGAGGACTGCTGCTCTCTCGGGCCGTGCCGAGGCCCAGCGAGAATTACCAGACTCGATAGCGTTCAGAGGTGGCAGGGGGGATCTTTGAACTGCCTGACTCGACGACGCACAGAGGACCGAGGTTCTCGGAGGAAAGCTGAACACATCGATCGTGAGACGCAGATCCTCGTCCGACTGCTTAGTCTTGATCGTCGGGGAAGGTCTGCCGGGTCCGTTGGCTCCAAATGCTGGAGTATCTGCCTCGGTCCCCAGGTCGCGCGCGATGAGGTCGATGTCCAGTCGCTGCGGTGTCTGGGACGATGACGATGGAGCTTCAACCGTCGGCAATGGCGTCGGCTGTCCTGACGCCGAGGAAGACAAGGGAATGCCGTCCGTCTCGATGGCGATCGGAATCAGGTCCTTCAGGAGATCGTCTACCTCGGCGGCGAAGACACGCTCAGCATCGATGAAGTTCTCGGAGGAGGTGTTTTGCTCGAGAGCCTCGGACGGCCCGCCAGCAGCTCCTGAGACAAGCGCGCCTGCGTGGATCAGTCCACCAGCAAGGCCAGTGGTCCACGGATCGGAGCTGTGGCTCCAGGAGTCTTCATCCGCATAGTAGCCCTTGCCAGTCTTACGTCCTTTCTTTCCACGTCGAGAGCCTGAGCGACCTTTCTTGCCCTTCCTGGATGACTTGCCTTTGCCTTGTCCATGGCCCCAGGGGCAGTCATCCGTGTTGTGGTTGGGGCTGCCGCAGCGACCGCAACCAGTCCTGTTGGAACGGCCACCGCCACTACTCTTGCCTTTTTTGCCTTTACTTGATGAATTGCCTTTGCTGCGGCCACGGGACTTGCCTTTGTCGCGGCCTCTGTTGCCGAAATTGACGTCGGATGGGAGAGTCTCGCGATCAACAATAGCTGCTGCAGAGGATGGTGCCGCTGGCCGTGATGCCGCAACGCTGCCTTCTTGGAATGATTTATCACTATCCTGTTGATCATCACCTGCTCCGCCGTCATCATACCAAGAGTCATCTTGCCAGCCGTCGTCGTATCCCCGAACCATGTACTGCTGTCCCATCCCAGCCGTCGCCGTACCAACCGTCATCATACCACAGGTCGGCTCCATCTGCTATGTAACCACCGACGGTGGGAATATGTGTTGGGGTCTGGCTCTTGGCCAGGCGCATGAGGTGATCCTTGATGTCGTCGTGACGGTCGAGGTCTCAATCGACCAACAAGAGAATGTGGACTAGCTTGGACTTCTCGAAACCGGAGTGCTTGAGTAGCTGATGACTCAGGGCCACACTGTTGAGATTGAGATTACCGAGACGATTCGCCTCCTCGTATGAATGTTCGAATTCTGCCATGTACTCGAGGAGGGAAAGCCTGCCACGCCTGAGATCGTAAAAGTGATCAATGGTGCCCGTCGCCATTTGTTGGTTGTCAGCACCATATCTTCGAGCACGAATCCGTATCAAGACCGGCTGCCATTCTCAGTAGCTGAAATAAGACAGTTGCCATGGGCATCGAACTGCTGCTGTTCTCCAGGGTATGCCACAATCGCATCGCCCTGGAAGTTGGCTCCTGCCTGGGTCGTGATCTGCAGTCCGATAACCATATTGTACGGTCGTCCCTGGAGTCTGTCTGCTACTGCTGGTCCAACTTGATCTGCAATCGGGTCGATCATGCGATACCACAATCTGAGAAATTCTGGACATCGTCGGAAAAAAGGGTAGTACATGAGGGCTGGTCTCCATCCTGGCGGTGTGCCTTTCGTGTAAGCATCTAGCGGAAGACTGGTGTGCTCGGACATGTCGATGTGGTGGGCCTCGATCTGCGAGTGGAGGTTCGTGTCCTAGGCGAACTCGTCGCCTGTCCTGATATCTTCAAAACTGCAATTGCCGTATCTGAATGAAAAGAAATGCCGCCGGGTCGGCGGGCGCGTCCTTGCCACTATCAGCGCGCGCGCGGCTCCCTGCTGAGGAGTCGATAGCGGGCGGAGCTGGATCAACTAGCTCCGCTACCAAACTCGACTTTTCAAGCTTGAGCCCGAATGTCGATGGTCATGCAACCGTCCCTGCTCTGTGCATGTTCACTCTCTATCTGCTTCTAGCTGCATTGCCCCAGGAGGCCGGCAATGTTACTCATATTCTGCACCTCCTGTTCCTCCTCCTCCTCCTCCTCCTCCTCCTCCTCCTCCTCCTCATCATCATCATCATCATCATCATCATCATCATCGTCCTCCTGCTCTCCTCCTCCTCCTGCTCTCCTCCTCCTCCTCCTCCTCCTCCTCCTCGTCCTCCTTCTCCTCCGCAAAGATCTGCACAAGCGCAAACCTTCAGAGGTCCGAATGGACTTCTCGGATCGGCGCCGGACCCGCCGCCAGGGGGATGCAGCGCCGATCCAAGAAGTCCGCGTGGACGAAAGCGGGTAGCGTCTTGCTCTGGGTAGCGTTTCGCTCCGCCCCGCAGGGCGGGAGACTCGGAAAAGCTCGGGACGTCGCAGCCTGGGGACTGGGAAGCGGATATCGTGTCGCGCCGAGGCATGGTGGGCCAGAGCCAGCGGAGCGACACGCCCTGCCGTATGCTGACCTCTCTCCTTCGCGGCCGCCCCTCTTCTGACGGCCCGAGCTCATCGCCGAAGACCAGAAAGCCCGTCACACGACTTGTGCGCCGCGCCCCGCGGTGCGTGACGCGCGCTTGCCTTCGCGCCCTCGCGCCGGCCCCTCGGAGAAGGGCAGCCGCTCTGGCCCAAACCGCGCCGCGCGATGCGCGATCATCTTCGCGCCCACCGCGGGTGGCCCCGAAAAGCACTCCGCTCCACTCGGAGCAATCTCCTTTCTTCTCGGACCCCGAGGGCCGACAAAAAAGTGAGGCACCGTGAGAAATCACGACTGGAGCCCCAGACCCCATCCCATCTTACTGCGGCACCCTTGGAGCCGGATCGATCTGTGATGGCCCCGGGGCCCGAATCTCAGGGAAGGTCCCTGGATCTCGGCCCGGATCTCAGGGGAGGTCCCCAGGGCCTGTCGGCCCGACCCCTCGCGGGCGCCCAGCCTTGAGCGCCCGCGCCAGCGTGGCCGCTGGGTCAGGCGGCACGGACCTGCCAAAAGTCTCTGGATGCTTGCCCGTGCTGATCGGGGTGCATGCCTTCCGGGCCAAGCCAGGAGGGCGTATACACCGATCCTGGGCCTAGGACGGGCGTGGCCATGATCGGTGCAGGTGTATCGTTGGCGTCCTCCGATGCAGCCCTCCCCCCAGCCCGCCCAGCCATTTACCTTGCCCGCACGGTCCAGAAGCCCCTCAAATCTATGTCAGAGGGCTGCGGCGTCGCTGTCCGCGCCGGGGCGGCACGAACCTGCCGCGGGCGACGAAGGCGAAGAGAGGAGCCCTTGGGCTTCTGGCTCGGGCATCGGCCCTGCAGGGCCGCGGGCCCCCCCCCCGCTCGGCGAAGGCGATCTTCGCCGAGTGGGCCCCGGGGCCCAAAGGCAGCCCCCGGACGCCGAAACTTGCGAAACGCCTCCCGTCTTCACTCCAGCAGGGTGCTGGAGGTCTGGGCGCACGACCCGCGGCCCTGAGTGGGCGTTGGAAGCGGCCAAGGGGTCTGAGCTGGATGAGCCCTGAGAAAATCGGTCAAGACGGGAGGATAATAAAAAATCCTGTCCAAATCGGTAATCGGATCCCTCCTGGGGTCCATCCACCTGGTGCACCATATCACTACCAGAGCCGTTCTTGACGGTCCGGGGGCGCGAAAACGACCCCCGGAGACCGAGAAAGAGGACAAAACCCCACCGAACCCAGAACCTCGAACCTCTCCCTCTTCCTGCTGGCCGAAGCCAGCGCTGGGCCACCTCAGACCCCCAGCCCGCTCCACAGTGGGCGTCGCAGCCGTCGGCGGCCCCGCGGCCCCACGGCTCTGGGCCCGGGTCTCGCGAGGTCCCCGCGGCCTGCCTGAGCCGCCGAGCTCGGGCTGCCAGGCCTCGGGTGGGCGACGCGGCAGCTGCTGCGTGGTTCCGACTCGCCTATAGAAAGAATGTGCAAAAGGTACAAATTCGGGAGGAACGGAAAATGAATCTCAAGGCAACTCGCGGAGCTCCGCGCGGATTTCCTGGGTCGGCGCTGGAACCCCCCAGCGGCGCCTCTGGCGCCGCCTCTGGCGCGCTCCGCGCGCTAGGGAGGGAGACCAAGCGCGGGTCCAAGAAAGAAGCGTGGACCTCCGAAAGCTTGTATTCAGCTATGCTATGTCTTGTTCCTCGATAGCTATACACCACCACCACACTTGGCCACGGCGGTCCTGGGCCCTGGAGTGGTGTAGACGCCCTCCTGGTCGAGGCCAGGAGGGGCTGTACACCACCCTGAGGCCCAGGATGGCCCTGGCGCCAGGCATGGTAGCGGCGAGGGCGCACGGCTGCAATCCGCCGAAGGCGAGAAAATTCTGTCAGAAAAATCGCCGGCCCCGCGGCTCGGCGGACGACGCCGATGTCGCCCCGCAGCTCCGCAAATCCACAACGGCCGCGGCCGCGGCCCCGCCCGGCACCCCCCTGCCCCCTGTGAGCTGTCGCGCGCTCCGCGCCCCGCCTGGGCCGCGAAGCTTGCGCCGGCAGTCGCCCTTCAGCACACGACGCGGCAGCCGCCCCGCAGCTCCGCGGAGAGCCGGCGCCCCTCAGTGCACGACGCAGCAGTCGCCCCGCAGCTCCGAGCCTCCACCACAGCTCCGCGGCCGGCGCCCCGCCTCCGCAGCTCGCTCCGCGGCGGACTTCTGCTCCGCCGCTCGCTGCCTCTCCGGGTCGCAGAGCTCGCGCTGCCGCGCGGGCGCGGCGGGGACCAGGGAGCTCCAGAAGGCAACCCGCTGGCCCCCCCCTCGAGGGAAGGACGGAGGGAGATCGAGGATCGAAGCCTCCAATACTTTCGACGTCATAACTTTTGTCTGGACCACTTCCTGGGGTCCAGATTTCCGTCCAAGATATTTCCCAACCATCCTGTGGTGTTGGGTCCCCATATTCAAGGCACAGCGCCCCGCGTCTCCTGACTCCTTCCTACTCCCCCTCCTCTTCACATCATCATCATCATCATCATCATCATCATCAGCATCATCATCATCATCATCATCATCAGCATCATCATCATCATCATCATCATCATCATCCTCATCCTCATCCTCATCCTCATCCTCCTCCTCCTCCTCATCATCATCATCAATAACGACAACACCACATAACATCGTCATCATCATATCATCATCGTCATCATCAGCAGCAGCATCATGAACGTCGTCGTCGTCGTCATCACCATCATCATCATCATCATCAGCATCAACATCATAATCATCATCATCACCATCAATATGATCACCACCACCACCATCATCAGCAACATCATCATCATCACCGTCATCATCACCACCATCGCCATCGTCCTCAACACCATCACCATCACCATCACCAGCACCATCATCATCACCACCATCCCCATCATCAGCAGCATCAGCATCAGCACCAGCACCAGCACCAGCACCAGCATCAGCATCATCATCATAATTATCATCATCAGCAGCACCATCAGCATACATCATCATCATCATCATCATCATCATCATCATCATCATCATCATCATCATCATCAGCATCAGCATCAGCATCATCATCACCACCAATCAGCATCATCATCATCATCATCATCATCATCATCATTATTATTATTATTATCATTATTATTATTAATAATTGTATTGTTATTATTATTACTATCATCATCGCCACGCATGTCGGCACACCCCTCACACGCTTCGTGGCCCCACCAGGAGTTCCACCCAAGGCCTCAGTGGCACCGTTCGCATGCGTCCGCGCCACCCATGTCGTCACACTCCTCACGCATTTTGTAGTCTCATGAGGAGCTCCACCCAAGGCCCCAGTGGCACCGTTCGCATGGGTCCTCGCCACCACTTTCGGCACCCCTCACACGTTTCGTGTCCCCATAGGGTGCTCCACCCAAAGCCCCAGTGGCACCGGTCGCATGCGACCGCCCCGCCAATTTCGGCGCACCCATCACACGTTTCGTGGCCCTACCAGGGAGCTCCACCCAAGGCCCCAGTGGCACTGGTCGCATGCGACAGCGCCGCCCATGTCGGCACACTCCTCACACGTTTCGTGGACCCACAGGAATGGCACCAGTCGCATGCGACCGCCCCGCCAATTTCGGCGCACCCCGCACACGTTTCGTGGCTCCATAGAGAGCTCCACTTAGGGCCCCAGTGGCACCGTTCGCATGCGTCCGCGCCACCCATTCCGGCACACCTCTCACACGGTTGGTGGCCCCATAGATTGTTTCCACGCAAGGACTTAGTGGCACCGTTCGCATGCGCCCGCGTCGCCCATGTCGGCACACCCCTCACACGCTTCGTGGCCCCATAAGGAGCTCCACCCCATGCCTCAATGGCACTGTTTGCATGCGTCCGCGCCACCCATGTTGGTATACCCCTCACACGTTTCGTGGCCCCATAAGGAGCTCCACCCAAGGCCCCAGTGGCACCGGTCGCGCGACGTGACGTGGCCGAGTCCTGTGCGCCGCCATTTTGCGTCCATTTTCTTCCGCCCTGTGCGCAGCCGTTTCGTGTCCATTTTCGTTCCGCCCTGTGCGCGGCCGTTTTGTGTCCATTTCCGTTCTTGCTGTGATTTCCCCATGCCACTTTGTTGCACGTTGTTTTGCGTAGCGAGCCTGCTTGCCGCGCCGAAGGTGGCAGAACCCCGTGCGCCGCAATTTTCTATATATGTATATGTATGTATGTCGGCGGTGCCCGGTGCGGAGCGAACCCCCCCCCCGGTAATTTCTCCTGGGGGGGTTCGAGCTGGCGCCATTCCCGGTTCGAGCCTGCACGAAACCCCCCGGTAAACACGACCTCCTCTGGTAGGCTGCACGACACCCCCCGGTAAGGACGCAACCCCTCCGTAAGAGGCGCGAACCCCAGCCCCGACGCGCGAATCTTACCAGGACGGGCCGGAACACGGCGGCGGCATTGCATCCCAGGGCCGTGCGGGAACACGGCGGCACTGTTCTTCTCTACGCGGCCGTGCCGTCGACCCCCCACAGCGGCTCTCGGGAGTTGCGCCGCAGCCTCTCGTATTGTGGCCACGAGCCACAATACGAGAGGCTGCGGCGGAACAAAGGCGAGCAGACGCGAATAGAGAACACAAGGCGAGCACACGCCACACTTCGACAGGGAGCCACCCTTCCCAACCGCCCCCCTGCCCCCCCCCCCAACCCACCCCCCCCCAACCCACCCCCCACTCCCACCCCCCACTCCCACAGGGGGGGGTGGGGAGCCCAGGTAGACGCAGTGCGGCCTGCACGAAACCCCCCGGTAAAGCGACAGGGGAGGACCCAATGCGGCCTGCACGAACCCCCCCGGTAAAGCGGCAAGGGGGGGGTGTTCTAAGCCGCTGGCGGCACCCGGTGCGGGCTGCACGAAACCCCCCGGTAGTGCACGAAACCCCCCGGTAGTGTTGGGGGGGGGGGGGTCGTGCCACGGCGCACCGCCGACATGTATGTATGTATGTATGTATGTATGTATGCATGCATGCATGCATGCATGCATGCATGCATGCATGTATGTATGTATGTATGTATGTATGTATGTATGTATGTATGTATGTATATACACAAGCATACATATATTCATACACAAGCATACATATATTCGAACCGCCCTGTGCGCGGCCGTTCTGTGTCCATTTCCTTCCCTGCTGGCTTTATTGTCCATGCCGTTGTTTTACACATTGTTTTGCGTATCGTGCCTGCTTGCTACGCTAAAGGTGACCGAACCACGTGCGCCGCCATGTTGTGTCCTTTTCCTTCCCTGTTATTTGTCTCCTCTCTTTGGTTTCGTTGTGCTTGAGCCGTCGCTGGACAACATTGGGCTTCATCGGGCCATATGGTCAGTATGTTGGGACATCTTGGACGGTCTCGCTATTTCTCGCAACCCCTCACCGAAAAAATCACTGACAGAGGGAGCCACGACGAAGGCCCTATAGGGAGCTCCACCGAAGGCCCCAGTGGCAGCGCCCGCGTGCCACCGCCATCCCACTTTGACGCACCCCTCAGTCGTTTTGTGCCCCGAGAAGGAGCTCCACCGAAGACGGTACTCACAATTGCGATGCTCCCAACTGCAAATGGTTGGGTCCTTCGCCAGGCAGATTTTTTGGGACGCAGGAAGGCACCCAAAGTGTAAAACCTGGGGCCCAGGCCTGCTGGCGTTGCGGACAAGCTCGCGACGCGCGCTCGTCCTGGGGCCGTCCCTGGCGCTCAGTGTGCTAAAACAGCTGCCCGCGACGCAAAACTGATCGCGGGGCGCCCGCGGGGACGACCCCGCCACCGCCGAGAGAGCGGTCCGCCCGCTTCGGGCGGCTCGACCATTTTCAGATCTCAGACGGAACGCGATTTTTCAAACCGGCCGGTTTTCCTCGATTCCAGCCCCCTCGGGCCGGGGATCGGGCCTCGGGACCATAACAAACTGGTGCGGGGCGAAAAACTACCCCAGTGGATGCGGTCGGGACCTTTGGGAACCATTGGATCACAAACCTTCAGAATTGAGGTTCGCCCTCCATTCTGGAAGCTGTTTCCCTCTGTTCTGGAAGTTCTTCCCTCCGGCATCCGGACATGCTTCTCTGGGGAGGGGATGCGAGACAAAATAAACGTCGGGGGCATGGGCGGGAGCAAAATGCCCAAGACTGCTCAGTGGTGGCCCAGAAGGAGGTGCCCCCCCCCCCCCCCCCGAGGCTCCAAGATGCCGCGCCGCCATAGGGTCCCACGGTGGCCCGAGGAGGCCGCTAGAGGGCGGCAGGAGGGTCCCAAGAAATCCCCAAGATGGCGCAGCCTGGAAAATCCCAAAAAATCCCAAAAAAAATCCTAGGGATGGCCCCCGACCAATCCCCGAGAAGGACTGCTGGCGGAAGAGGGCTCAGCACTTCAGATCTTCACGTAGCAGGTCTTTCGAGAGTCCAGGTGGCGCGCGTCCCGCTCCCCTGTGGCCTCTCCGTCCGGCGGCTTCAGGGTGTAGAAGACGGTGTAGATCGGCGGATTGATGCCCAGGTCGCACAAGCGGCTGTCTGGCAGGGTGCTTACGCCAGTAAGCAGCCACCTGATGCCGTCGACATAGGGCGAGATGTTCCAAATCGAGAACGAGAAGGTTGGCCCCGGTTCCAAGACGAGCGCGCCGATGGCCGCGCGGAACGCTTTGCGGTCGTGGGACTTTGTCATGCCCAGAGTGTGGAAAGCGGGGTCTGCGAGGCTCGGGGGCTTCTCGCCCCTAGGAGTCACGATGAACTGGTCCATGGCCCACAGCGGCATCGAAAATATCTGTCACCGTGCCTTGTGCACGTTGAGGCGTGAAAGAATGCCATGGGCTGTCTGGTAGAGCTTGTGTATTCTAGTAAGTGACACCGCCCCCCCCTGGACGAGCCCACTCGCATGCACCGCCCCCCCTTTCGAGGCCACGATCCCTCGTAATAAGCCTGGCGAAGGACCCAACAGCATGCATCTGCGAGTACCGCAAGACAGGTAGAAACTAAGGGATGGGGGCCAGCAAATGGACGAAGGCGTGCGTGAAAGGACAGAGTGACGTTGCTGATGGAGCCGCAAGGGTCAGCCGCAACGGGTTGCATCTGGATGTAACCCAGAACGGCTGAGCGTCTGTCGACCCGGCCCTGGGGAGCAGCAGGGCGCGTTCTGGGGAGCAGCAGGCGGCGGGGCCTTTGGTGGAGTTCCGATAAGGTTGGCGCGGTCACGCATGCGATTCCTGCCGATGGGGCATTCGATGGAGCTCCCTTAGGGGGCCGCGAAACGTGCGAGGTGTGTGACGAAATAAATGCGGTCACGCATGCGATTCCCGCCACTGAGGCCTTCGGCGGAGCTGCCACGAAAGGTACGCGGGGTGTTGCGAAATGGAAACGGCCACGCACACGATTCCTGCAAGTGGGGCCTTCGGGGGAGCTTCCTGTGAAGCCACGCTTGATGGGTGTGCCGACATGGGCGCGGTCACGCATGCGATTCCTGCCACTGGAGCCTGGGGTGGAGCTCCCTGTGGGGCCACGAAACGTTTAGGGGGTGTGCCGAAATGGTCTGAAGAACGCATGCGAACACAGCCACTGGGATCTTAGGCGGAGCTCCCTGTGGGCCACGAAACGTGTGAGGAGTGGGCCTAACTGGGGTGGGGAGGGCATGCGGGCGCAGCCACTGGGGCCTTCGACGGAGGTCCCGATGGGGCCACGAAACTTGTGAGGGGTGCGCCAAAGTGGGGTGGCGGCGGCATACGGGCGCAACCACTGGTGCATTAGGTGGAGATCCCCATGGGGCCACAGGGGTCCGCCAAAGTGGCGCGGCGGCGGCATGCGGGCGCAACCACTGGGGCCGCAGGTGGAGCTCCCACGATGGCCCAAGAGGCCAACACGGCCCAAGAACCTCCTGTGGGACCCAAGACGGCCGTAAAAGGCCTTTCGACGGCCCAAAACAACTCCACGACGGCCCCTGGACACCAACCATACGGCCAAGAGAACTCCAAGACGGTGTAAGAAGGCCCCAAGATGGCCCAAGAAGGCCTCAAGGGACCCCAAATAAAGTGTCGCAAGATACCAACACAGCCCCAAAACGGCCCAAACGAGTTCCATGAACGTTCCTGCAAAAAATGCGAACGAAGTGTGTCACATGTGACGGCCTTCTCTTCCACCCCCTCCTTCTCTTGCTCCTCCTGCTCCTCTTCCTAATCCTCGTCCTCCTTCTCTCGTCACCATCAGCATCATCATCAGCATTAACATAAGCATCATCATCATCATCATCATCATCATCATCGTCGTCATCATCAGCATCATCATCATCATCATCATCATCATCGTCATCACCATCATCACCACAAACACCATCGCATCACCACCACCACCATCACTATCACCATCACAATCATCATCAAGATCATCACCATCACCATCATCATCAACATCATCATCAGCATCATCATCATCGTCACCATCACCGTCATCATCATCACCACCACCATCATCATCAATGCCACCACCACTGTTACCATCATAATCGCCATCAGCATCGTCACCCGCATGATTATCATCATCATCATCATCATCATCATCATCATCATCATCATCATCATCATCATCATCATCATCATCATCATCATCATCATCATCATGATCATCATCATTATCAGCATCATCATCAGCATGACCGCCACCATCGTCATCCGCATCGTTATCAGCATCGCCATCGTCATTACCAACATGGAAGCACCGCATGTGGGAGTGCAGGTGCAACGACACCATCGAGGGCATCGAGAAGTCGCAGCACGTCGCGGCGAGAGCGGCCACTGAGGTCGAGAACCAGCCGTGCCTGTGGCTGCGAGGCCTACTACTAGCGAGCTGGACGGCGGTCAGCGGCCCGCCCGAGCCTGGGACAGAGCTGTTCGAGAGCTTCGGTGACTTGCAGGTCCTGTCTAGCGACGCGGTGAACATGACGGACGGTTGGCTCATCGCGGCTGGTGATGCGTCAGGCGGCGAGTACACGACGGACCCAAGGCTGAGGAGGGTGTCTTGGGGCTGGGTGGTCTTCAGCAGTGTGGACCCAACCGAGGCGAAGGTGGTCGCAGGCAGCCGTGGCGCTCTTGCGGGTTGGAGGCAGAGCGTCAACCGCGGGGAGCTGATGGCGCTGAAGGACGTGATCATCGCAGCTGGAGGGTACTACGACAAGATCAGGTACACCGCCGACTCGTCGTACGTTGTCAGAGGCATGGGCAAGCTTCGAGGAGGGAGGATGCCCAAGACGCACGTCGACCTGTGGAAGGAGGTCAAGCAGGGCATCATCGGCAAGCAGGTCGAGATCATCAAGGTGGAGAGCCACATGTCGTCCCAGGAGGCGCTGGACGCAAAGGACAACCCGATCGACTGGCTCGGGAGTGTCTTGGCGGACGACTTCGTGGACGACATTGCGGAGTCGGTGCCGGTGCCGCGCGCGCAGGCGCGGTCCGTGGGCTTCGCGGAGGGCGTCGCAGGGCTCGTCAGGGACCGCGCCTACCTGACGCTCATGGCCTCCATCGAGGCGGAGCCGTCGCAGGTCCCGAGCTTGAAGGTCAGGCAGGAGGCCCACGTCAAGGCGCGTAGGCGTGCAGCGCTGCTGGAGGGCACTAAGCACAACATCTCCCACGACGTGAGTGGCAAGCACTACAGGTGCCTGAGGTGCGGGTCCCGCGCACTGATGTCCTCAGCGGACGCATGGCTGGCAGGCGAGTGCATCGCCGTGCAGAAGGCGGACGCCGTCCACGGTTCGCTGAGGAGCAGGCCGAGGATCGCGAACCAGGAGGCCCACGAGAGCCACATCGTGCTGTACGTGGAGGAGCTCGGCCTGCACTACTGCAAGAAGTGCGGCTGCATCGCGAGAGAGAGCATGAGGAAGCTCGTGCAGGTCTGCGAGGAGACCCCAGGCCAGATGGGGAAGCAGAACCTCTCGAGGATCGCGAAGGGCCTGCAGCCAAACACCAGCGCGATGGCGCTGGAGTACAACAAGAAGAAGAGCGGATGGAGCTGAGCACGCGCCGTTTGCGCGTGGCTCAGCCCTTTGCACTGCCCGCAGACCGCGGGAGAGGCGGCGCAGCCCCCTCGGCACAAAAATCGTCATCATCATCATCATCATCATCATCATCATCATCATCATCATCATCATCATCATCATCATCATCATCATCATCATCATCATCATCATCATCGTAACCATCATCACCAACACCATCATCGCCATCATCACCGTCTCGATCCTGAAATCATCCTTCTCCTCCTCTTCATCATCACCACCATCGCCATCACCATGATTATCATCATCCTCTTCTCGCTCCTCCTCATCATCGTCACCATAATCATCCTAATCGTCATCTTCAGCAGCATCATTAACCCCAATCACGCCATTATCATCAACATGATCCTCCTCCTCCTCCTCACCATCACCATCACCATCACCATCTCCATCACCATCGTCGTCATCGTCGTCACAATTACCATTATTATCCCAGTGCGACCCTACCTAGGGGTTGGAGCCCCTAGGACACCAGCATTAGTAGCAACAGCAAAGCTAAGCTAAAGCTAAGCTAAAGCTAAGCTAAAGCTAAGCTAAAGCTAAGCCAAAGCTAAGCTAAAGCTAAGCTAAAGCTAAGCTAAAGTTAAGCTAAAGCTAAACTAAAGCTAAGCTAAAGTTGAGCTAAAGCGAAGCTAAAGCTGAGCTAAAGCGAAGCTAAATCTAAGGTAAAGCTAAGCTAAAGCTAAGCTAAAGCTAAGCTAAAGCGAAGCTAAAGCTAAGGTACAGCTAAGCTAAAGCTAAGCTAAAGCTCAGCTACAGCTCAGCTAAAGCTCAGCTAACGCCAAGCTAAAGCCAAGCTAAAGCTAAGCTAAAGCTAAGCTGAAACTAAACTAAAGCTAAACTGAAGCTAAGCTAGAGCTAAAGCAAAGCTAAGCTAAAGCTAAGCTAAAGCTAAGCTGAAGCTAAGCTAAAGCTAAAGCTAAGCTAAAGCTAAGGTAAAGCTAAGGTACAACTAAGGTAAAGCTAAGCTAACGCTAAGCTAAAGCTAAGCTAAATCTAAACTAAAGCTAAGCTAAAGCTAAAGCTAAAGCTAAGCTAAAGCTAAGCTGAAACTAAAGCTAAAGCTAAAACTAAAGCTAAAACTCCCAGGGGACTGGGGGAACCGCGGGGCGGATGCCGGGGGAACCGCCCGGGGCGGTATCCACTGCCCGGCCCTTTGAGATATAAAGTAAGAACCCTCTAGGCAGAGCCTAGGTAGGGAATTACCATTATCAGTATCATCATCCGCGTCATCATCGTCGTCGTCGCCGTCACCATGAGCATCAGCATCATCAACATCAGCATCATCATCGTAATCATCACAATCACCGTCATCATCATCGTCATTACCAGAATCCTCCTCGCCACCATCATCGTCATCATTATCATCATCCTCATCGTCGTCATGATGAGCTTTTCATCGCACTCGGTCGTGCCCTGCTGCGGGCAGGTCAAAAGAGAGACTAAATCCTCCCTCCGTCCTAGCGTCGGCAAGGTTTGTAGCAGAGAACGGCGTCGGGAAGGGAGGTAAGTGGATGTGGCAGCAGTGATCTTCAACACTGCTACCCTACTGATTTCCCCTCCTCATCCTTCCTGTACTTCGCCCGCCCACATGGTGGGCGGACACGCGCAGAAAAAACATACCTCCTCAGGGGACGAAGGGGATTCGCAGATGGGATCATGGCGGGATCTTCGTCCAGAAATGTCGCCCACCGGAGGCGCAAAAAAAAACGCCTTCACCGGGGTCTGAAACGAGCCGCGGATGGGCTGTTTGCGGGATCTCCGTCCCGAAAGTCCTCGACGAGAGGGCGACGTAGGCTGGGGCCCAGCCGCCTGCGGGATCTTCGCCCCGCGCTATCCTCCACTGAAAGAGAAAATATTATGCGGGGACTCCGCCCCGAAACGCCCTCCACTGGAGGATGGTGTTAATAGAAAGCAGCACGCGTGACATCGCGCCCCTACCGCGCCTGACACCCCTAGCGCCCTGGCGTCCTAGGCCTAGGTTCTCGGGGGCCACCCACCCTGCGAAAACCTCGCCGCCGCCCCCCGCCGCGCCCGACGCCGCAAGCCCCCTGGCGCCCTGGGCCTAAGTTCTTCGCGGTCACCCACCAGCAAAAACCTCGCCGGCGCCCCCCGCCACGCCTCCTCCGCGCCTGACGCCGCCAGCCCCCTGGCGTCCTGGGCCTAAGTTCTTTGGGGCCACCCACCCTGCAGAAACCTCGCCGGCGCACCTCGCCACGCCCCCGCCGCGCCTGACGCCGCCGGCCCCCTGGCTCCTGGGCGCAGGCTCTTAGAGGCCACCCGCCCTGCAAAAACCTCGCCGGCGCCCCCCGCCACGCCCCCGCCGCGCCTGACACCGCCGGCCCCCTGGCATCCTGGGCCTAGGTTCTTTGGTGGGGCCCTGCAAAACACGTCGCCGGCACCCCCCGCCACGCCCCTACCGCGCCTGACACCGCCAGCCCCCTGGCGTCCTGGGCCTCGGGACATAATGGCCACCGACCCCGCCAAAACCTCACCGCCGCCCCCCGCCGCGCCCCCGCCGCGCCGGACGCAGCCAGCCCCCTGGAGAACGGCCACCCACCCTGCGAAAGCCTCGCCCGCGCCCTCCGCCGCGCCCCGCCGCTGGCCCCCTGGCGCCTGGGCCTGACGATCCAGCGGGGGGGCGGGTGCCGCTATGTAAATTCGCACGCGGGATGGCAATCCCGCTCAACGTTCGGGCGGGCCTGGGCTCGCTGCGCAAATTCATGCACGGAACGCGCCCCGCGTAAAGTGGCGCGCCCTGGCGTGCCCACTCTGAGATTTTCTTTTGTTTTCCGCGCCTGGTGTGCGAAGAAATAGGGCGGGGGGCGCCCGTCGTAAAGTGGGAGACGTTTTGAATGACTTACATATATGACTTACACACATATATATATATATATATATATATATGAAATAAATAAATAAGATTCAAACAATTCGCGAAGTGCGTCCCGCGTGCGATTTTACACGCAAAACCTGCCACCGCCCGATCGTTAAGTAGGGTCCCTGGGCAGCGGGAAGCGCGCCCCCTATATGAATCTACAAAGTGAACCTGATCCCGCCCGCGCCCCATCGGTAGGTACTTTCGCCAGACATTGAACATTTGCCGCCATGGGCGGGTTTTCACTGCGAGCCCGCCCCCGCCCAATGGAAAGTTGCGCCCGACAGCGACGGGCGGACCCTGGGCCCCAGGCCCACCGCGTAGCCGTTATTGCCAGGAACGGCGGAGGACGACGACGACGACGACGACGACGACGACGACCGCGGCGACGTCGACGACGACGACGACGATGACGACCGCGACGACGGCGACGGCGACGGCGACGACGACGACGAAGACCACGGCGACGACGGCGACCACGGCGACCGCGACGGAGACGACAAACGTTCTCGCCACGTCGCCGGCTACTGCTTAGCTCTCGCTCCTCCGCCGAGACATCATCAGCGTCCTCGCTCGCCTCCTCCTTCTAATCCTCCTGCTCCTCCCCCCTCCTCGTTTTCCTCCTCCTTCGCATCTTCGCGTTCTTTCCCCTCGCGATCCCCCCCTGATTGCCCCCCCCAGGCAAGCCGCGACAGACCGCGGCAGCCGTCCTGGTGCAATTTTCTGCCTCAGGGGTCGCGCGCTTCCCGCCCCATCTGCCCGAGCGGCAAAGGTTGCCGACGCCGCGGGGCAATTGCCGCCATAACGATTGGAGCACGCCCAAACGGGTTCGACGCCCACGCAGCCAGGACAACAGTTATAAGACAATCAACAGGATGATCATCGTGAACGATCTGCAGACGGCAACGCCCAAAGAGCATCATGAAGCGAGATTCGCCCTTCAATGTTGGCAGCGCGCGCAGGCGCGCGCCATGGGCCAAGTCACTGGCGCGCCACATTTTGACTCGCGCGCCCGGTGGCCAACTTGGGGGGCGGGCGCCGCTTGATGCCTGGGTGCTCTTCCAAGCTGATACTTCACGGGGCCGCCGGCGTGGGCGGTTTCACGTTATGCCTTGCGTTTTCGTCCCCACCAGTCGGATGGCTAACATGCGCCGCGCAGCGCAGGCGATGCGTTCTTCCGCCACATCGACGGGCGGACGTCAAATGATGCGGCGGGCCCCGCCTGGTCTGCGCCGACTTGTTAGAATGACAATTTCTTGACGGAGATGGGAAGTTCTGCCTGAGCTGGGTTTTCGCGCGATTCCCTCTCGTCTTCTAGCATGCCGCCCTCTGGGTCCTGTGGGACGTGTGAGACCTGTGCCCCTGTGGGACTCGTGCGACTTGTGAGACCTGCGAGACGCGCGGGGCCTGGGGGACTTGCGGGATCGGTGGGTTTTGAAGGACTTGTGCGACCTGCAAGACTTGTGGGAGCTGCGGGGCCTGTGAGACCTGTGGGACCTGTGCGAAACGTCGGCCTCGTCGAAACTTTGCGACGCGCGCCCCCCGCTGTCGCTTGTTTTTCTCGCGCGCGAAACGCGGGGGGGGGGGGATATTGAACATGTAAAAAATATCGTACAGTGGGCGCGCCTGGGCGCCGCGCCACTTTGCGCGAAGCGCGTCCCGCGTGTGATTTCATGCGCAGAATCTGCCGCCGCCCGATCGTTGAGCGGGGTCCCTGGGCACGTGAACTTACGCGGCGAGCCTGAACCCGCCCGGGCCCAATCGCGGCGCGCACGCAGAACATCGAAGATTTGCCGCCATGGGCGGATTTTCACTGAGAGCCCGCCCCGCCCAATGGATTGCGTCCGACAGCGGCGGGCGGGCCCTGGGCCCCACGTCCAGAACGCGGCCGTCACTGTGGCGAACGGCGGACGACGACGACGACGACGACGACGACGACGACGACGACGACGACGACGACGACGACGACGACGACGACGACGACGACGACCACGACGACGGCGACGAAGACGACGACAACGACGACCACGACGACGACGGCGACCACGGCGACAACGACGACCACGACGAAGACGACAAA